TGAGAGCAGCTGCGCGAAAGAGCCGGACCGGCGCACACCGCGTTTAAACGAAAATTATTAGACACTTCCGTAGGGTTGACCGCACCCGGGGACCGGACTGTATTGGCTGCCATTACGTACCGACCGGGCCGCCACTGTCGGATCGGAATATCACGATCTACCGGGAAGGCAGCTAACTGAAATTGACCGGCGTCCGGTTCATTAGAATTTAACGTCGACCAAAGTGAACGCTAAGTGGATCTTTTCGTTGTCCTCCGTCCTCCTACGTCCTCGCCTGTCCGTTCATTTTCCCTGCTAATTTGCGTTAAAAGTTTTATCCTGTTTCCGCTGATCCCGCGTACTTTGCCTTTCTTCAGGAGAACCTTGACGGATGAAACGAGCCGTTCCGCTTGGGACGGGTTTGTTGGACGATCGACATTTTGCACGCATGAGATCTCTAACATATCCATCTTGGAGGTAATACATCATTTTCTGCCGTAAACTACGTTATAAAATCTGCAATAACATATTTCTATATTTCTTTGTTGCTCCAAGTATATCGCAAATGTAAAACATCGAATTTGAAGCCCACAGAGTACTTCATAACCAGAATATACAAATTAGCCGAGCGCCTTATCAATCCTCCCCCGAATCTCGTATACTTCCATACTGAGAATCCGTGTCATTAAATATTGATAAATCCTGAACGAAAAACAATAAGCTTCAACGGTATCGCGATTGAATTGGAAATCACGCGTAAACCAACAGCGTCTATAAAACAAACGACGTTGAGCAATAAATCCGTGTCACAAGGATGAATGGGAAGTACCGTGGAGGAATGGCACTTCCATAAGCTTCGGTGCATAAAAGCACGCGTCCCCATTGTACGATCCACGGCTCTCGCGGCGCGGGTTACAGTAACCGCGCCGCGGGGGCGCGAGCGCGGCTTAGTGGTCCCAAGTTGAGCAGGAACGGCACGGTGATTCGAGCGAAGGGAGGACTCTGCAGCAACAAAACGGCGGTAAGACTCGCTGAGCTTTAAATTCCTTCTGTCTACGATTTCATTCCTTCCGTCGGGCGGATAGACCATCCGCGTCCAAGTGATCGAGTTTACCTGTTCACCTCACCGTTCACGCGAGGTCGTTCCTCTTTCCCCATAAAAACGATACCGCCCTTGATATGCGACTTCGTCCAAGTCCCGCAGCCAGCTACTCAACCCTCTTCCCAGCGACGTTAAACAAACCCCCGTAATCGAGACCGAATCGATGGATTAAGAATCCAATTGGAAATGTCCGCCCACCTCCTGTCCTACCCCCTCGGTCCCTTTCTCCTTCCCGCTCGTTCTCTCCATGCCCCGTGAAATCCCTTGAAATCCGAGCCCCACCAGTGGCGTTCCCCTTAACCACCTTCCCAGCGCATTCACGGCCCTAAAGCGTTCGCCTACACGGACATTTTTCTGAAATACATTTCCAGAGGCAGCCCCAATGGTGTCGGTGGCAGCGGTGGCGGCGGCGGTACCGACGGCGGCGGCGGCGGCGGTAGTGGCGGCACCGGCAATAAAGTTTGCTTTATTTTTACTACCCCTCTGGCCAAGTCCCGCCCCGTATTTCCTCGGGATATTGACATATCGGGGGTGCCGGGGCTTCTCCTCTTAACGCCCTTTTTACACTGGCACGGAATTTATGTCTTCTTCCTACGCGTCCTTTTCTACGACGATCCCAGCCCCGACCGCAC